AAGGTTGTGACGGTTAAATGGTGAGATTTTGTTCAAGAACAGATCATTTAACCTGACCCACTGTGCGACGAACAATTTGTCCAGAATCTTCCTTCCCCTGACCCACTGTGCGACGAAAAGTTTGTCCAAAAACTTCTCTCCCCTGACCCACTGTGCGACGATCAGCTTGTCCAAAAACTTTCTCCCCCGACCCACTGTGCGGCCCTGCTCCGGCCGGCTCCCCTCATGCCGCGCACCCCTCGCCTAAAACTTTCAAAGCTCGCCATTTTTAAACGGCTCGGCCGATTTAGCTCAAATTCAATACCAAACCAGTCCTAGGAGAGAACTACCACCCGTAAAAATTTCAGCTCAAAATATTCATTTTCGCTCGAGTTATCGAGTGGACAAGATTTGACCTCCCCCCACTTTCGAGCCCCACCCCTCCAAATCTATTGCCTCAAATTTCAATTTTTTTTCGCAGAATAGTAGTCCTAATGAGTTTCTACAAAATGCAAAAAAATTGGTCAAAATATCTTTCAACGTAAGAAAGATATAACCACTCAAAAATCGAAAAATCTTCAAAAGGCGGAAATACATACATACATATATACATACATACATACATACATATATATATATACACATGAATTTGAATGGCATATATTTTCGTGATCTACGACCGGTGATCGATGCTCTTCACAAGGTCTCGGGTCTGGGTCCGACATCATGGGAGAATGCAATAGTGTATTTCCTTCAGAAAATACACTAAAACGATATTAGTATCAAAATGTGCTCCCTTTGAGCTTTCTATTCCATATTTGATCGAGGATCTATGCCGACTTGTAACATAACAGAACAAGGTAATATGTGATGACATTCACCTCGAATTCTCGCATTTCTTCATTTACCTAAGAGTATGTGATGTTGGCCACCATATATCTTATCTTCAAAACGCTTAAAAAAAATTCAATAGGACCTTTCACATTTGCCAAGGGATGTAGATAAGGGCTGCATGATAGGTTGCCAGATTTTCACACTTTCAAAAATCGGATTTTTGGCCACGATTTGGCGCTCCCAGACCATAGTGTGTTGTTCAAAAAGAAAAAAATGTGTAATTCAGACTCAAAACTTTTTAGGGATATTTATGATGAATCTTTGACTTTGTTGATAAGACACCGCATCATCCGAGAGGCACCGCCCAGAGGCAAAAGTCACCTCCAAGAGAACCCCGCACAGAGCATGGGGTCAGCGGCTCTCGATGAAAGTCAATGAAACTTTAATAGATTGATATAAAGTTCATAATTAAGGAAAAGCCAAAAAATTAGCTCACTTTTGCGAGTAGAAGCCGAGATATTCGCGATTGAACCTGGACTATTTTCTGTGCGGCTGAGGTAAATTCTCCGTGTCGCCTTACCTTGCTTGAGCACTTAGGCCAGGAAACCCCCTCTCCCCACCAAGTAACTACGATGTCGCGTTGTTTACTCTCACTCCTTTCATTAGGACGCTCCGTTCGGGCTGTCCAATATGGAGTTCCCTGCTTCTCGCACCTCTCCCGTGCCGGCCGGTCTAATCTGAAATGTAGTTGCTGAAACAGAATTGACAGATGCGGGCAGAGGGAGGGAGTACGGCATTTGCACCAGCCGTGCGCATAAGCACCTATCTCCGCATAAGCACCTATCTCCGCATAAGCACCTATCTCCGCATAAGTAACGTGAGGTCTGATCGAGAACACCGAACAACGAGAGGAGAGGGGACTCGGAATTCTTCCACCATGCTGCCGCATGATAGAAAATAGTCCGGATTCAATTGAGAATATCTCGGTTTCTACTCGCAAAAATGAGCTAATTTTTTGGCTTTCCCTTAATTATGAACTTTATATCAATCTATTAAAGTTTCATCGACTTTCATCGAGAGCCGCTGACCCCATGCTCTGTGCGGGGTTCTTTGTCACACCCATGATGCTCCAATTTTAGGTTTCTCAGAAACTGAAGAGCTTAAATACAGGGCAATAATCTATCAAATTTTTTTGATTCAGGTAGTGCTGAGTAATTGAACGTGAACCTTAGGAAAATAAGAAAATCATGGTTTAAATTGAACGTGAACCTTAGGAAAATAAGAAAATCATCGTTTAAAGGTGCATTGTTTTCAGGACCGTAAAAGTAATAAGACCTCATTTTGAAATTCAGCAGAACTGTTCATGCAGAACCACAATATATCAGCATTCCCATTTCATACAAAAGTCTTCATTTACGGAAAATGCATCAACTGTATAGGTCTATCCTGCCGTGCTAAGGAAAGACGCAGTATGAACATTCAAAAGTTGCCAAATTTTCTCTGTTAAAATGTTCGTTTTTGAGGAAAGACGTGAATATTTTCCTTGAAAAAGTGAATTAGTGAGCAAAATCATCTAAAAAATTGGAGGGAATATATTCATAAGTTTACCAGGAGATTCGTATTTTATCAAAGGAAATTTGGCAACGCCTGAAGACTCATACAGCATTCTTCCTTAGCAAGGCAGTTTCGGTATGTACTTGAGTGGTCTATTTACAATAAAACAGCTTTCTACAGTTCTTTCCATGTATATACCTCTCCAAATGTCAGGTGCAAGTTGTGCACGAACACAAACTAATATGGCATATTTCGAAGAAAACGATCAGGGAGAGTTAGATGCATAATTACCTCCAGCATATTTGGAAAAACTCCAAACCATTACTAACTTATCATCACCGCCAGAGGCGAGGTATCTTCCGGAAAAACTCCATCTGACACTATTAACGCAAGCTAGAAAAAAGAACGAAAATTTTAGGGTGCCTCGTCTGGGGGAAGGAAAAAGGGAGTTAACAAAGCAGAACTTGTAAAAATTTTGGTGGGATGTGATCGGCTTATCTGGGTTTTGCTTTAAGTTTTCTCATAATGATTCACTTGATAATCCATTACAATAACTCGACACAATTTTTTGAAGGGCATTCCCAGCATGATGTTACAATGAAAGATGTGTGACTATTTTACTTTTTTTCCGCTCGATATGACAAGAAGAGAGCTTCTTTTTGAGAATTGAATAACTCCTTTGAATTCCATATTGGCATCCACAAAATGCAATTATGTTGCTGCAGGGTGCTGTAAAGACAGCAATGGCATGACCGTACTCCCCCTCTGGACCCTAAGTGCCAAGTTTTATTCCTGACAGGTCTCTTAGATACCTTTTTAAAAGTAAAAGAAATAAGACTTTATCTTCCCCTCTGACTAAATTTTATTTGTAAGAAATGCATTTCTTGTGCAATGTCTATCCCTCTTTAACCCTATTGTAATTTTTTCTTGATAAAAGATGGTGCTAGCGGGAAGATATGGATTTAACCCAAGAAGCTAAAATTTGATGGCAGTCTTCTCGAATTCATATATAAGGAAAAATGCCTCTGACTTTTCAAATGTTCAGATTTTTTGAGCAACCCTCCTTGCCACTTACTGCAGCTGCTGGATGTAGTGGCAGCGCTACACACTCCTCCACTGCTGCCAGATGGAAGTGATGCTTTGACAGCATATCAAACAACACTTAAGCACAAGATAGATGTAGAATAGAAGCTTAGATTTTAGGGAGCAATGATATTTCAGTCTCCAATATCTATGATTGAAAGCCAAGTTAAACAGTTCCAATTTAACATTCATTGTGCCAACACCGGACCTTCTACCCTCACCTGTTAACCTTTTAACTACTAAAATGACTGAAGTTTAACGTTTTTATCTGTGCGTAGTTTACATCCACCTGGTGTTGCTTAATACGAGTGGAAAAACAGTCACTGTGATACGCAATTGAATTCTTTAGTCATAATCTGACCCTGACAACATCCTTATTTAACACAGCAAAATGAATTTAAATTAACCTAATTTTGCAATGGAGAGCCAGAAGTTCTGGCTCCACCGCAAAAACTTTTATTTGCATACAGTAACTAATTGCAAATATGCCGTTTGCCGTAAGTCAGAAATAGTAGTTCCATATTCCATAAATACGTCCAAAAGTAGTCCGAATGAAACACAGAGGGACATACGCTAACAAGCACAAACTGTAAGGACTATTTTCACTCTAATTAAAACGGCAGATTAAGGTTGGAGAAATTCTGTGTTACCGTATACACCCGCGGATAAACCGCACCTTTTTCCCAATTCCTACACCCTAAAATCAGTGTGCAGGATATCTGTGAAACTCTCGAAAACTGCATACTTATCAGGCTAGACAATGCAAGCAAAACGGACCGCCGTGGACATGGGTGGGTTACAATGGAATTTTTTTTTGACCCTCTCCAAACCTGGGGTGCAGATTATCTGCATGTGCAGGTTATCTGCAGGCGTACACGGTAGTTAGAATGGTGATGGATTATAAATAATTTCTGAAAAGATCGAGCAGGCATTTTTATACTGGAGGGAACTATGTGGGAATAAATTAAAACACATGGACCTACATTAGGGGTGATCGAAATTCCCGACTTGAGCGCTACACAATCCGAATAGGGAAAAAATTTGCATGTAGATTACGGGAAACATTTCCGCAGCCGTAATTCCAACGGGAACATGGCGCTCAAGCCCTTCGAATATTTGCATCGTTAAAATGCCTAAAAAATCAGGTTTTTTCTCATTCGGGTCGGTGGAGGTGCCCTCATACACGCAATTGCTTCATCAAGCACATGTTTTCCCACGTATTTTTTCACGAGGAATCGATTTTACTGGTTTTTAAAACGATATATCGTTGTATTTAATCGATATATCGATTCTTCATCCTATTTCTGAGAAAAATTTGGTAATTTTTAACATTAACTGTATCAAATTCTATTAATTAGTGGTGTATAGGCAAAAGTTTTAATGCATAAGTAAACTAGTGCTCACATAAACTTTTATACACTTACCCTCAAAGCAGCGTATACTGTCCATTCTTCAGTTTGGGTACTAAATGATGGCCGAAATGCCAGGATTCTTGGCGTCGCAGCGATCGCGTTTCATGGCTCATCAGTTGCAAAAAACATTTTTTTCGAAATCTGACGACAGGTATCTAGTGAAGGTGAGTTGCCTTTTGGCATCAAATGACGAGGAAAAAATCCTAGCTCCATAGGACAACACTTTCATCGAAAACATGAGGTTCGAACTTCCAAAATCTCAAAGAGGTTGTTCCAAAAACGCCGATTTTGGCCCCCCCCTGGATTTGGCCCAAACTTTGCTCAGATGTTGTACTAAGTGTCCCCGATGCTTGGGCAAAATTTCAGCCCCCTCGGATAATTAGGGGGGAGGGGGCAGGGGGGCAAAGTTGCAATTTTTTTAAAACTTTAAAAATCGATATCTCGCGAACGGTTTGAGTGTAAGTGTTGCGGTTTGCGCTAAAAAACGTCAAAAAATACTCTCTACAAGAATATTAATGCTGTTTGCAAGGTTGCGTAATTTATCGCGGTCATAAATCGATTTTTTCGATTTTGAAGGTTCGACTTTTTTTCGTTTTTTGTCTCTCCTCTCTTTGGAATCGTTGCTACGTGAATAAAAACCTGTTGAGGTGATTCTCCATGAAATTCTGCACCTACCACGCTTAGTTTGATCTTGGGGAAACGATTCGTTCGTGAGTTATAGCGATTTTTCTGCGCGTTATCGGTTACGCGCGGGTGGATTATCGGCGGCGCTCCATCCCGCGCGGGCAAGGCAGAGGTTGTTTCACCCCTAGGGCCTTATATTCATGCTGTAGGCTGTAATTATCGATATTTTCTCCTCCCCCCACCCTTCCCCTGCAATAAATATTTGTTTAATACTTCGTTATACAGGGTATCCCAGACCACCCGTAACAGGTCTTTTTCTCGGTTGGTTTAGGTAGTACGAAGTGGGAGGCCGCGGAATTGAATAGGGAATTGACCCCAAGGAATCCGAATTTCACGGTCCCGAAACCCCCCATGCCCCCCTTGTGAGGTGAAGAAGGGGTCTCGATCCCCAAAGTCGAAAGACATTGTGCCTCCCCCTTTTACCCCCGAGGGTGGCTAGGGGGGCATCGGGACCATGAAATTCGGATTCCTTGGGGTCAATTCCCTATTCAATTCCGCGGCCTCCCACTTCGTACTACCTAAACCAACCGAGAAAAAGACCTGTTACGGGTGGTCTGGGATACCCTGTATAACGAAGTATTAAACAAATATTTATTGCAGGGGAAGGGTGGGGGGAGGAGAAAATATCGATAATTACAGCCTAAAGCATGAATATAAGGCCCTAGGGGTGAAACAACCTCTGCCTTGCCCGCGCGGGATGGAGCGCCGCCGATAAGCCGCCCGCGCGTAACCGATAACGCGCAGAAAAATCGCTATAACTCACGAACGAATCGTTTCCCCAAGATCAAACAAAGCGTGGTAGATGCAGAATTTTATGGAGAATCACCTCAACAGGTTTTTATTAACGTAGCAACGATTCCAAAGAGAGGAGAGACGAAAAACGAAAAAAAGTCGAACCTTCAAAATCGAAAAAATCGATTTATGACCGCGATAAATTACGCAACCTTGCAAACAGCATTAATATTCTTGTATAGAATATTTTTTGATGTTTTTTAGCGCAAACCGCAACACTTACACTCAAACCGTTCGCGAGATATCGATTTTTAAAGTTTTAAAAAAATTGCAACTTTCCCCCCTGCCCCCTCCCCCCTAATTATCCGAGGGGGCTGAAATTTTGCCCAAGCATTGGGGACACTTAGTACAACATCTGAGCAAAGTTTGGGCCAAATCCAGGGGGGGCCAAAATCGGCGTTTTTGGAACAACCTCTTTTCGTTTTTACCGTGTTTATTTTCTAAGATAATTTCTGGATTATAGGAAAGACACAACTGACATGTACCACATGTGTTTTCATAGTTAATTTGAGTCATGGAATCGATTTTTGTGGTTGAAAAATTAAGATATCGATTTAAAATATAGTTTCTTGCGATACTTCGTCCAAAAAATCGATTTTTTTGTGTATATCCCAAGAAATTTTGATTCATAAATGCAAGTCTTTGATAAATCGACATTTTGACTTCAAAAATAGATTCCTCGTGAAAAAATACAGAGAGTACCGGGGTTACACCTGCTTTAAGTACGTAGAAATGTTGACAACTAAGGTACGATTCATAAAAGATTAAAAGAAAATCCTCAAAATAGGAGTTTTGCTGTTTTTTAGTCCACATACATCTCCGTCCTAAAATAACTTCATTTCCCCTGATGACACAGAAATTTGAGCGCCTTGCAAAAAGATAGATCATTAAAAGAAGTTTTTCGTCAAGTTTTGTTTCAATTCTGTAAGTCAAACAGAACTGGAGATACGCCCGTTTCCATGAGGGCCGATTTTATCGAAATTCACCTGAGAACCTCAACTCTACAAGGCCGCCATGGATACCAGGATGGTCAAAAAAATTTTAAAAATGGTTCTTGCACTGGAAAAAAAACACATTGGATCTAGAGTCCAGACTCTTGAAAACATTGACAAGAAAAAGGACTCTTGATTCAAGCAGATTTAAGCTTAAATCGAGAACCAAGCCTCGTAATTTGAGCGGATTTCCTTTTGATTTAAGCTTAAATCTGATTGAATCAAGAGTCTTTTTTCTTGTCGATGTTTTCAAGAGTCTGGACTCTAGATTCAATGTGTGCTTCCATTGGATAGCTTAAGAAGTCGTAATTATAAAAAAAAAGTCAGGGTTGGTCAAGCTAGAGTTGCTGGATGATTTCACGTGGAATGACCCATCAGCTAATTCAGTTTGAGAACTTGTATGAATTGTACCTGAGTTGTCAACATTTCGATGTACTTTAAGCAGGTGTAACCCCGGTACTCTCTATATTTTTTCACGAGGAATCTATTTTTGAAGTCAAAATGTCGATTTATCAAAGACTTGCATTTATGAATCAAAATTTCTTGGGATATACACAAAAAAAAAAATCGATTTTTCGGACGAAGTATCGCAAGAAACTATATTTCAAATCGATATCTTAATTTTTCAACCACAAAAATCGATTCCTTGACTCAAATTATCTATGAAACCACGTATGGTACATGTCAGTTGTGTCTTTCCTATAATCCAGAAATTATCTTAGAAAATAAACACGGTAAAAACGAAAATTTGAGATTTTGGAAGTTCGAACCTCATGTTTTCGATGAAAGTGTTGTCCTATGGAGCTAGGATTTTTTCCTCGTCATTTGATGCCAAAAGGCAACTCACCTTCACTAGATACCTGTCGTCAGATTTCGAAAAAAATGTTTTTTGCAACTGATGAGCCATGAAACGCGATCGCTGCGACGCCAAGAATCCTGGCATTTCGGCCATCATTTAGTACCCAAACTGAAGAATGGACAGTATACGCTGCTTTGAGGGTAAGTGTATAAAAGTTTATGTGAGCACTAGTTTACTTATGCATTAAAACTTTTGCCTATACACCACTAATTAATAGAATTTGATACAGTTAATGTTAAAAATTACCAAATTTTTCTCAGAAATAGGATGAAGAATCGATATATCGATTAAATACAACGATATATCGTTTTAAAAACCAGTAAAATCGATTCCTCGTGAAAAAATACGTGGGAAAACATGTGCTTGATGAAGCAATTGCGTGTATGAGGGCACCTCCACCGACCCGAATGAGAAAAAACCTGATTTTTTAGGCATTTTAACGATGCAAATATTCGAAGGGCTTGAGCGCCATGTTCCCGTTGGAATTACGGCTGCGGAAATGTTTCCCGTAATCTACATGCAAATTTTTTCCCTATTCGGATTGTGTAGCGCTCAAGTCGGGAATTTCGATCA